CTCCAACACACTTCTGACATGTGATTTCGGCAATACTACTTGGTGGACTACATGTGCTCCATCAAGGCTCTTCCACTTCCGGTGCAATAGGCCATCCTAAAAATACAGGGAATCCAATACCCTTTAATAGTTCTACTATATCTAGCTATCTCTTACCAAGCAGGTCTGACTCCATTTTTGAGCCATTCTTAAACAACATTCAAGACATTTTTTTTCTTTTGAGTCTTTCTCAGGCTTACAAGGGTGACTCTGTCTTCGTAATCCTCTGGCTTGATGGTGGTCGCCTGAAGACTAACTTCTTCTACAGGCTCCTCTCATTCTTTGACCCTTTTACAATATCGGCATTTTTGTTCTAAACAAGATATTACCAATCTGTACGGTTGCTGATATCTCGCCTAGAATAGGAGTAGTGCCCTGTGGCTATTTTTAGAACTAAGCTTCTTCGAGTTGGTCGTGGTTTTCGATGCAGGATCCCTGTTAGAACGAAATACTTAGTTACACCAATATCTAGGACGAATGTGCCTTCTTAGTTATCAATATACCCCTTGACCAATAGATTTTGTTCGTTTTTATTTAAGGTGTAAGTGCGAATTTTGGGGCCCTCTGTTACAGCTGATGCCTGCCCCGTAGTATACACCTTTATTCGTTTCCCGGACTATTGTTAGAACACCGGCTAGGTGTGGGTGACCGGCTTCTCCGGGAGGCATATCTGCTGTAATTATTCCTGGATAGACTTCGTGACGGGCTTCGGGAGGTTGATCTAGGTGAATTTCTAGTATCATTTTTTGATTCTCGATTTATAGAACGAGCCCTGCTTCGACAATATCTTTGAAGGTGTCCAATTCTTCCACAATTAAAGCATCTTCTGCTTTCATTATGACTATTTCGTTGCATACTTTGCAGGATATTTAAGATTTGTGAGAGGGTAGATTGAGGGATAGTATCGGTAGTGATCTCTTCACTTTCTTGAAATCGAATTTCTTTCAATTTTGCGCGAGAAGATCTAGATATACTTTTTGCTGCTTCGTATTCCTAGGCTGCAATAAGTGTCTCACTCAACGTCTTGTGGTGTTGTAACCGAAGAGCCTGCTGCATTTCCACGTCCTGTAGTCCATCAATTAATACTTTCATGCCGATTTGTTCTAAGAAATCTCTAGGTGCCTGTAAATAGGCCAGATAGAGTAATCTTTTATTATCGGCTTCGAATTCTTGTAGATTTTCATTGTGTTTCTGACTACGAACTTTTAGCTGGCTTTGAAATACCTGTTTTAAATGCTGCTGGCCATATATTGTCTCCAAAGCTTGGACGAGAGACGAATAACTGGGTTCCTCTTGAGGAAGTTACTGAAACACGATTGCTGCCTGACCTCGCAGTGACACTATCAATGAAACAGCCATCTCTTTCTCGGTCCTGTCATTGACTCTAGCTGCAGCTTCAAATTGGAGTCGATATGTTTCCCATGTTGTCTGACAGTCGAACGTGGGTGGCTTAAGGGTCTTGCTAGTATAGTTTTGTGAAACTGGGATTCGAATGTGGCTTGTTTCGGTTATGGATGCAGACGAGGTAGTGTTTTTAGCTTCAATGTTGCTTACCGAAGCTTGACTACGAATTATTCTTACTAACTCTACCATTTTCGCTCTAATTTACCCTTCTAACTCTGCTCTTGTCTTTTCCTGCTGTTGTTCTAAATTGGTTTTTAAATGCTGTTGCTGCTGTTCTAAATGAGTTAGATGCTCTTGTTGTTGCTCCAAATTAGTTTTTAACTTCGTTTGCTGTTAATCTATATTAGTTTTTAAAATATCTTGTTGCTGTGCCAAAAGATCTACTCTATTGTTAAGCTGACCAACCTCTTGCTTGAAGGTTTCCTATACTTGTAACAAATGGTTCATAATTTTAATCGCATCTTTTCTACGCTTCTTCTTCTTTTCCTCTTCTTCTTTCTTCCTGCGCGTTTCCTTTTCCTCATTTTCTTCTTTCCTACGCCTTTCGTTTTTTCCCCGCTTCTTTCTTCCTACGCCTTTCCTTTTCCTCTTTTTTTTTCCTTTCTACGCCTTTTCTTTTCCTTCTCTTTTTCTTCCGATGTCTTTCCGTTTCCTCCTCTTCTTCCTTCCAATGCCTTTCCTTTTCCTCTTTCATCTTTAAAAACCATGCTAGTTTGCCTGAAGTATCCATGCCTGCGTCGTACTTAGTGGATCTAGTATTTATCATAAACTTTTACTTTGTATCCCACCGCTGTCACCAATGTTACGCAGGATTTGGTATCTCAATTTATTTAAACTCAACTTTTACAACAACTATACAACTGATAACATTAAAGTATAACGTCTGTCATAAAATTGAACACTGACGTCAGGTCGTCGACGACTTATATAGCTTTCCTCAACCTTCTAGAACCTTCTCAAACAATCCGGATTTTTCTTTGACCAGAAATGACATTTCGAGAAATTTCTGGATTATTCTATCGTCTTCCTTTACTCGTACCTTTACTTATAACGACCGCAGCATGCTGTCGGGTACGGCGTAACTGTATGATTAAATTATTTTGTGAGAAAATCTGCTCAAGCATGTAAAATTTATGCATTAGAGCTCATATTCTTTTACTTAGGTATATTACGTAATCAGACCAGCGCACATATTGGTCTACTAACTCAAGTATGTTACTGTTTATTGTATATCTAAAGAGATACACTTAGAGTTTGGTTTAGAAATTTGGAAGTGTAGTTTTAAAGAAAATTTAGGTGGTTGGTTTACTCTAGTTGAACTAAAACAATAAATTTTGTTTTTTTAATATTTAACCATTAACAAAGCCAGATTATCCCTCTAGACTTTTAGAAGGATATGCGGCAAAGCATGGAGGATCAGTCCTCAACTAATCTATTGGATCTACCAAACAGTGGTAAAACCCATGGTTACGTACGGCTCTGTCCTCTGGTGGGACAAGGGACTCCAACGACGGCCAGAGCAAAGCTGGCTGAAATACAGCGGCTTGCGTGTCTTGCCATAACTGGAGCAATGTCAACTACACCTACAAGAGCCATGGGACCATGCTGGACCAAACCCCGCTCCACATTTTGCTGGAAAGGGAGGCCAGAATGGTCTCCTACAGGCTCCTGAAAGTGGTTAGTCAATTTTACGAAGAACTGCGGTGGGACAAGACGGGGCTGATGAGTGAAATTAATAATCACGCTATCCTCGGCATTGTCTCGGACACATAGAAACATACACACATAGAAAAGCCATACAGCGTCCTCATCCCAGAGAGAGGCACATGGAGCAAAGGGGAAAAAACCCTCTTCCAGGCAGACTATGCGTTGTATACGGACGGCTCCAAAACTGGAAAAGGAGTAAGAGCGGGAGTTTTAGGCCAGAAGCCTAGAGTTGACATATCAATAAACCTAGGCTCTCTGGCCACGATCTTCCAAACAGAAATAATTGCTATAGAATTGGGAGCGAGAAAGTTGATGAACTTTCTCCCCGCAAACAAGACTATAAAGATCTTTTCAGATAGCCAGGCAGCCCTTAAGGCATTGAGCTCCAATCGAGTTGACTCAAAGCTGGTTTGGAACTGTATAAATACCCTAGAGTGTCTCGGTGCCCGGAACAAAGTTACTTTGATCTGGGTTCCGGGACACAGTGATGTGCAGGACAACGAAAAAGCCGACGCACTTGCTGAAAGAGGAACCGAATCTGTGTTCATAGGACCAGAACCATTCCTGGACATTGCAAAAAGCACTGCCCAAGGAATTATCTCAAAATAGACGGAGGGTGCAACACTCACGAACTGGAGAGATAGCCCAGGGCTAACCCATTCGAAGGCGTTTATAACCAATCCTTCCATGAACGACTCTGCTCAGATCCGAGAATGGAGTAGGAGAGATCTACGCATTTTCACTGGACTGATGACAGGACACTGCCGTCTTGGCAACCACATGAGAAGGATAGGTCTGTAACAAACGTCGGACTGTCGATTCTGCAGCGTGGAGGACGAGTCTGCAGAGCACATTTTATGTACCTGCTCCGCTCTGGAAACAACCAGGTTCCAGATCTTCGGATTTACCCGACTGGAGCCTACCGACTTTAAAGAAGTCTCACCCAATTCAACCATGACCTTTATCAAAAGGTGTGGCTTGTACGGTGAACTATAAGTCATGAGCCACAATAGACCCATCTGGGTCGCATTGGAAGGTGATGAGATTATCCCACTCACTTTTAACCTAACCTAACCTCTAAAAGGCTAAAATATCAATAGAATTATTTTTTGAATGTAAATTATATCCAATTTATCCTTTAACTATTCTAAATGTAACTATTTTTAGTTATTCCAAATCTGGATAGCGTAAATAAGATGTTCGTTCAGCGGTTAATCTGATTTTCGTTTTTTATACCTAAAGAAGTTATTTTTGTAATATATTATATTGGATTGGAAAAGCATAAGCCTGATTGTGGAGAAGATGAACAATGAATTTAAAATAGACGAGGCTGTCCTTACCACCTACCTAGTTACCTAACAGAAGCCTAAATCATATGATATAAGTAGTTTGATTTAACATACATATGTATTAGCTATTCAATGAATATACACTTTAAAAGTCATTTTATCTTATGAACTTTAGTAAATTTATTATAATTTAATTATTAATGAATTTTTGATAGTCATTAACCTTTATAAATAAAAGAGAGCTTTACTTATGGTGGCGTGCTATATCTAATTTCGTAGTACTTATGTTATTTTAATCCTAATGCCTAATTCACGACCCATAACAAAAAGCAATATACAATTAAACTATAAAAATTACATATATCATTACAAATTTGATATAAAACGTGTTATTACTACCCTTATCAATTTACAGAATAAAGTATCGTAAACTAGGTGATTATTAGATCTTTCAGAGGTTAGAGCCATATTTTCAAAAAATTTACAAGTCTATAATAATTGTCTTCAACCGTGGTAGCTTAAATGGGTGTTCACAGCCTTAACTATCTCAACTTAACTTACCATTACTAATTCATTGAATACTATTGGCTCATAAGTAGAAGAATGTAAAACGTTAATTACTCCGGTATGTAATAAATATACGCAGAAAGTAAAATTGCTAAGTAATACAATATTTTTGTTTTCCAGTATTCTCTTCATTATACCTAAAATATAAAAGTCAAGTTAAAAATTTGAAGATCGTGTCAAAGTTTATAATTATAAACTATTATAAACAAAATTATAATGAACGTTTGTACAACTTGCTATTTTTTTTGTGTCATCGGCATCAACTGCTACGGCTATTAGCCTTGTGTTCTATGTAGGCTTTGTTACTGTTTCCCAGCGCCACTTTAGGAACAGCACTGTTAATTAGTACTCAACAGTGAATGGTCGAGTGGAGAATCCTACCAAGGCATCAGGATAATAGTTTGGTGTTTTTACTATATATTCTGGATATACTGGTACTATACTGACACACCATGGTGTATCTACTCATTTTTATAAATTATTATTATCTAGCGTTACTCTTTTCTTTTTACTTTTTTAAATTGTTTACCTCCAAAATTATATGACATTGCCCATATTCCAAGACCTACACCCAGAGTATACATGGGTTTCACAAGTGATCCTAGAACTGCTGCTACCAAACGATCTGTCACTTCAGTATGACACAGAAGTAAACTGATGCCAGTTAAACCAAAACATGAAAGACTCCACAAGATATTAAGTTTCTAAAAATAAAATAAGCCGTTTTTAAAAAGTATAAACAATTTTAATAAAATTAAAATATGTGATCATTTAACATTGAAGTTATAAACATAAGCCTGGCTTTTAAATATGAATTTACTTCACTGAAAGAGCTTATATACTTTAAAAGAATTTTTATAGTAATTTTTGGGTATTGCCAGAATTTGTTCAATTTTAAGTATGTTATAAAACCTTACGGAAAGTCAAGAGAGTTTCCTGAAGGAGGCACTGTGAAGAGATAAAAAGCACTCAAGAATGTGCCAGACTCCAGAAAATTCTTCGAAAACACAAAAAAAACTCAATAAGTTCTCTAAAAAACGAATTAGGAAAGTTTACAAAAATTTGGAATGAAACGGTAAAAGAACCCTTTAGAGTTTATTTCCCTGAGGAAATGGGACTGGCAACGATAAAGTCCCCAAGACCAATATGTCTAATGTCTTTTGTACTGAAGACTTTAGAAAAATTGCTAGATAGATATATTAGAGACGGAATATTCGTTCAAAGACCAATAAACCAGGGCCAATACGCCAAGAATGCAGGGTAAACAACAGAAACAGTTCTCCATCAATTGGTTAAAAGGGTGGAGAACACACTGAAAAACAACGAGGTAATATTAGGAACTTTCTTGGACATTGAGGCAGCATTCGACAATACCGTCATCGAATCAATAATTAGAAATCTGAAACATAGAGGAATTGTGGACAAAGGTGTGATCTGGGTAGATACACACAACCTGTTGGATTTGTAGGTTTCTAATAGTTGAAATCAAACACAAATTATAAGTACGCTCTAAGGCACGCTTACCAAATGGACTGTCTCCGGTCGGTGCTAGCTGCAACTATCTCCATGTGTACAATAAAAATTTACCACGTTGTGAAAAACAATTTATTGTGCACAAACGCTGCATGAAAACTTTTTACTTTGTACATATTTACATTATTTTATTTAACTATCTACATGCTTAACACCGCATCTTTGCTTAGAGAACTTGAAGTGATTTTTATAAAATAAAATAGAATTTTCATGATGAGAGTGAGAGTCGATCTGTGCTTCTTTGCTTCTGTGCTTCTGCCGATTTTTATTGTTTTAAAGAGAGAGATAAACATATGATTACGTCACCTAAGCTAGTTAGCCTGTAGTTTTTCGCGCCGAAATCACTTGGCGTATAAGACTCCTGCCACGTAAACACACTTGTTGTTAGCCGATGATCTAGTGATCATGGCGCAGGGTAAATTAAACACTACAGTTAGAGACCGTATGAAAGAAAATCTAAAATATAGAGAGAAAAGGAAAGGACTAAAAATTAGTCACAACAAATCTGCCTTAATTAAATTCACGCTCAGGAAAAAGTTAGAAAGACTAGAACCGCTAAATCTCCAAGGTGAAAACGTCCAACTAAAGGAGACGTAAAGTATCTCGGAGGTTCTATTGGCTCGACACTTACCTGCATTTGGAAAGAACAATAAGAAACTAGTCCTAGCAAGACGCTCCTTTAGAAAAAAAAATGGGGACTAAAACCAAGTATGGTATACTTGACATACAATATGATAGTAAGACCAATAATAACATACATAGCTTCGGTGTGGTAGCCAAAGACACATTAAAGAACAGTAATAACGAGATTAAGCAAGATACAAAGACTAGCTTGTCTTGGAATAACGGGGGAAAAGAGAACAACCCCCACAGCAGCAATGGAAGTACTAATAAGCTTCCCACTACTTTAAGTTGTAATACAAGGGCAGGCAAGATTAGGTGCTTACTGATTAGGGATTAGGGAAATATTAACATTAGACCAGGGGCCCAATTTCTGACGGCGTTCGTCATCGTCTCACATGCGGTTACGTATGCGAGTAGAAAAATGGTATTCTTGAAAGCCTTTGCCGTATGCGAGTAATCCTGCATGCGTCGCTTGGCGAATGATTTGCAACGAACGGTCCTAATTCCTGACGGCGTTCGTATTTGTCTCGCATGCGGTGACGTATGCAAGTAGATAAATGGTATTCTTGAAAGCCTAGGCGTATGCGAGTTATCCCCGCATGCGGTGTTTGGCGAACAATTTGCAACGAGCGGTCTTGACCATGCAATAACCCTATCTCGCACGCGGTAACCATGGGTATCCATGCATATTACTTGTCACTGTCACTTAGTAATATAAGAGATCATTGTTTATATTTTCCTAGTTTATATTTTAATTCGTTTTTTATAATTATCTTATTATTATTGTTATTATTATTAATGATTATTATTATTACATAATTATTTTACGGTTTTGCTGTTTATAAGTCGTTAGTGTTAATTTTATTTAGTTATTGTATTTACTATTGGAAACTTCTTATAAAATGGACGATATAGAGGAAATTTCCCTTATTCAGGGAATACATAATATTGAAGAGGCACAATTAGATGCAGAACTGCCACCTCTCAATTACAACAGGCGACAGGATCCATTTCTTTTACCAGATAGGCAGTTTAGAAGAATATTTCGACTAACTAAGGAGTTAGTTGAAAATATAATTATATTAGTGACTCCCTACATGGTGCAACCACGAAGAAATTCAGCTCTGAGTCCACAACTAAAGGTTAGTAATTAAACCCATAATAATTATAAATACAATTATTTTCATTTTTATTTTCCTATAATTTTATCTATTAATAACAATAAACTGGAAACAGAAATATACCAATCCAAATGTAATTTGGTGGTTTAAGTATTAAGTTAATTTGTATTCTTGTTTATTGTATTGAATATAGTCAACATTTATACTTAAAAATTAAAAATTAAAAGTATTTTTTAGGTTCTTTGCTCACTAAAATTCTTTGCCTCGGGAAGCTATCAATTAGATGTTGCCTCAAATATTTTTTTATCCATTAGCCAATCTTCGGTTAGCAGGGCTGTAGAGGAAGTAGCAAATATCCTAAATAGGCCAGAAATTTTTAACCATTGGGTTAAATTTTCAGTAAATGAGGAGAACTTGGTAAACCTTCGTAATGGGTAAGTTAAAATTAGCGTATTTTAAATTTTCAGATTTGACTTGATTTTTATATTCTAGTTTTTTCAATATGTATGGGTTTCCTGGTGTTATTGGAGCCATAGACTGCACACATGTGGCAATAGTTCCACCAAAAACAAATGATCCCGTTTATCCTGAACACATGTATATTAACAGAAAACGTTATCATTCAATTAATGTTCAATTGGTAATTTACTTATTTTAAAAAATCGTCTTCAAATGCATTACAATGTTAATTTTAGGTATGTGATTCCAAATTGAGAATTTTGAGCGTCAACTCAAGATATCCAGGAAGCACACATGATAATCATATTTTAAGTAATTCCAACATTAAGGTAGCTATGGAAAGGTTACATCAAATGGGGTATAATGGTTACCATTTATTAGGTACAGTATGGAGTGAACCACAGAACATGTTTCTAAAGTAGATCTTGGAGAAATTCACGCTTGGTCTTAATTCAGAACCATGCGTAGTTATCACGGTCATGACTCGTATCTCTGTCTTTGTCGGTCATGGCCTACTTTAGAAACATTTTTAGCCGATTACTATTTCTATACTACAATCAAAAAGATTTTGATCAGTAAATCAGGATGATAATAATAATTAGCTACTGAATAGTCTTTTTAGATTTAAGTTCTTAATCACTGTAGGTCAAAGTGATATTTGACATGAATGTTCTTCAGCCATCTTCCATTCTTTCGTCTTTCGTTTTCGTCATGAATGAGGAAGAATTCAAAATTCTAGGTAATTCTAGATATGTCTTCATAATCTAATTAATTTTATATTTATTTTTAGAAAATTCAGGATATTACCTCAGGGCTTGGCTTCTAACCCCTACAGAGGTTGAACCTCCTCCCAACACAAATGAATACAGGTATAATGCTTGCCACAAATCAACGAGAAGCATCATTGAAAGATGTAATGGTGTACTCAAAATGAGATTTAGATGTTTACTGAAGCACAGGGTATTGCACTATACCCCGGACAAAGCATCACTTATAATAAATGCATGTGTGGTGTTACACAATATGTGTATAAATCATAATATTCCAGAACCAGATTTAGATGAGGAACTGGAAAATGTGGATTTTGGTATCGACAATTTTATTGACGAACAGCCAGGACAACGTATTAGAAACCAAAGAAGAATTAATCCAGATCTGGAAGCAGGAAGAAGGAAACAAACATTGGTGATAAATGGACATTTTAGAGATTAAAATTGGAAGGCGTTTGAATAATTAAAATAATTGAAAACTACTTTGTTTAAATAAATTAATATTACTATGTATTGTATTTTGCTTTTAATGTAATTACAGGAACAACTAACAACAATATAACTAAATTAAATCTAATAAATAAAAAACAAAATAATTTTAAAACTAAAAAATAAACAAAAATTTAACACACAACTATTAATATATGCATTATTATTTTTCGAGAATATTTTTTAGCAAAGTTGCTATATTTTGCAGTATTTTGTTCTGCTCTTTTGTTGCCTCCAGTTTTTTTTTTTTTCTTTAAAGAAGTTTGCTCTTCTAAAGCCTCCAATTTCCTTCTTCTTAAATTATTGGTCTCCTTTAAAATATTTAATTTTTCTTGTGAATACTCTTTAAATATTTCGTTTCTTTCTTTGGACGTGACTGTTAAATTTTTCGTGGCTTCCACTGATTGAGAAAGTTGCTGTTTCCGAGTAACTTTTTTTTTCTAAAAAAAATTATACAAATTTATAAACTAATCTAAATCAAGGAGATACTAAAATTGACGAATTTTAGTTGCCTTTTAATTGCTCAATATTACTGTTGAAATAAATAATAGTTTAAGAGTGTATTTTCTACAATATTACCTTTTATATTGTTTAGTGTTCTATTCTCTATCTGTACAGGATTAGTTATATTCGTTTCAATTTCTAGTTCATATTGAGAAACTTCCTGCATTTGAGCATTACTGTTTTCTAATATCTCAGGAGTATTATGTTGTAAAAGAGGAAGATCCTACATGAAAATAAAAAATCACAATTTAAGAAACATGTATTTTCTATCTTAACAACAATAATAAATAATATTAAAAATAATAATCCTCTTAATCACCTTCTTACTAGTGATTTGTATAAAATACTTACAAAAACAACGGATGACTCTAAAGTTCCTGGGTGCCCTGTACTAGCAGTTGGGCATATTATATCTATTATATTCTCTTCCCAATTAGATAATATTTCTGGTGTAGCGGGACCGCCACCAGTTCCACCTTGGTGAGTTCTTAATCTGGCATGTTTAGACTTTGTTTTTGATTTGATATCATGCCAGCACTACAATGTTAATAAAATCAATATATCGTTAAATTATAGATAAAAATATAAAAATACTTACTTTCCTCCACTGCTTCCAATCTTTTTTCCCCCTATTATGCTATTTAGTGTGGTTTCACATTCTTTCCATAAATTTTTAGCTGTTGTAGCAGTGAAATGATTTGTAAATTTGCCACTAACTAAATTCGGGTGATCTTTCATAAAATTTATTAAAGCTGTTCTCTGTTGCTCGCTAATTTTGAAGCTTTTCTTTTCATTTTCAATCTCCATTATCAAAACACTACTCAAATTTTTCAAAGAATTTAGTTTAATAATAAAAGAGATTACACAATGACACTCGCAAAAGAATTTTTTTTTGACATTTTTCAGTCGATAATGCAGTTTTGTTATGACGTTCTGAAATTTTATTGGTTTAAAACGATTGAACTACTGCAATAATTAAAGACTCTTCGTTACATCATGCGACACAAAACTATCCTAACGAAGGGTAGTCAAGAATACAGATTTTGCGTCGCATGCGGTGGCGACCATGCGTCGCTAGTCGAATGCGGCGTTCAACGCATAGTTTCAGGAATTGGGCCCCTGGATCTTTCGACAAACATATCTCGCATGCGGTAACTATAGATATCCAAGAATGTTACTTGTCACTGTCACATAGATCTAATATAAAATATAATTATTTTATTAGTTTTTATTTTAATGAATTTTTTATAATTACTAAATGTTCATTAGTCACTATGTTATTAACTTTACTTAGTTATTATTATAAAGACTAGTCTTCATAGTTATTTCTAAGTGTTTATTTTTTATAAAATAAACGATATAGAGGAATCTGTCCTTTTACAATTAATACAAAATATTGAAGAGGCACAATTAGATACAGGACTACAACCTCTTAATTATACCCGGCATTAGGATTCATCTTTGTTACCAGATAGACAGTTTATAATAATATTTTGCTAATTTCGCTAGTTTAGGTTCATTTTCAATCTCCATTTCCAAATACATACCTTAAATTTATTTTGATAATAATAAAAACTACTAATTTTACACTCACACAGGATAATTTTTTTGACATTTTTTAGCCGATAATACAGTTTTTATATTGTTCTGAAATTTGATTGGTTGAAAACGATTGATCTGCTGTAATAATCAAAGATTCTTCGCTCCACCATGCGACACGAAACTAAGCTAACGAAGGGTAGTCAAGAATACAAATTTTCCATCGCATGTGGTGGCGACCATGCGTCGCTAATCGAATGCGGCATTCAGCGCACATTTTCAGGAATTGGGCTCCAGGTCACATAAGTTTCACAAGGTAAGTGCTAGACATGAGAAATAATCACAAACAAACGGTATTCCCTCAAGACTCCAGTCGAGGTTTTAACACGATACGTAACGGAGATCACTATAAGGAAACCCATTGCCCAACGACCGAAATATATCTGGTACGTGGACGGGTCAAAGACTGCGGAAGGCACTGGAGCTAGAGCAGTTTCCAGAAACCGTAACACCAAACTTAGCTATGCAATAGGAAGACACACTTCAATATTTCAAGGTGAGGTTTATGTAATCTTGCAATGTGCAAGAACGAACAATAGGATAGCTACCTCAAATAAACAGATCCAAATAATGTAAGACAGCCAGGCAACCCTTAAGGCCATATCAAGTCAAAAAGTGACTTCGAGGCTGGAATAGGATTGCATCAAAGAACTGAGAACACTAGAAAAACGAAATAGAGTAAAACTAGTTTGGGTGCCAGGTAATCAAAGAATTGAGGGCAATAAAATGGCTGATGAACTCGCAAAGAGGATCAAAAGAAATACCGGAACCAAATATAAACCTTGGAGTACCAAAACGTAAAGTTCGAGGTTTTATAAATGACTATGTTCGGAAAAAATACAACTATTGAAAGAAAATCCCAAAACAAGCACATGTGAAGACCTTTGTAGGAAGACGATCTTTATAGTGAACAGGAGAACTTTTCTGTACAAATAGAAACAGAGTCAGGAGAACTACTCTTCGAAGAATAAACAAAAAAAGTTTACCGACTATACCAATAGAAATATTGGGTCTAAAACTACAAAATAGCGGTGTTAGTTTATGTTTAACAAAAATGAACTCTGATCTATTTTCCACTGTGCTCTTTAGTTGAAAACAATAACAGAACTGTCGACACTAAAGGGACACGTGAACCAAATAGGCGTGTATAATGGAGACCTATTGTGTCGACTCTGCTATATGGAACCAGAAACAGCCAAACACATATTGTGCAACTACGAGGCATTAAATCACTAAAAACAGGCACTTTTTAGACAACCACAGGTTGATCCAAAAACATGTAGAACACACCCTGTCAAGGACTTGTACAAACTTGTACAATGGACTAAGGTGACAAAGTGTGTACTATGAATTAATATGGGTCAAACACAATAGGCCATTAGGCCTCAATGTTGTCGGAGACTAAGTCAGAGGAGCCCAGGATAAACAAATCTGTTATTGTGTAGAATTAATGATTCTATTGTGGTATATAGCTACCAATATTAGGTTATAAATTTTATATTTAGTTTTCATTGTTTAAAAATTAGGAATATTAGTTACTAAATTATGGCAACAATATTGTGCAAGTTCTCTGAAGAAGAAGAGGAATCATTAATCAACGGCCTGTACCGGTGTGAAAACGTGGCTAGATTTAAGTTTCTAACACTACTTGAAGAAATGCCAGATGCATGTAATTACATGCGGGAACCACTATCAAGTCCCACAATTGACAGAAGGTCGCAGTGGACGAAGACAAATAATATCCAACTCCTCTCAAATCTAATCTAATCTAATCTACCGAATGAAGGTGCATTTTCATGTATTACCATAGCTAAAACATAACTTCTAATAATTTTGTTGTTGTAATAAAGAACGGTAAATGTCCTATTTTAATTATCGAGGCAACTAATAATAGTCGTACACTATTATTATTTTAAGTTACGTTATGGATATTACCCTAACTTAAAGCCACTCCAAATCATACACTTTCTTGAGAAGATAGGATTGGAAGGGTCGTTATAGGCATTGAGATATTTCCTTGCTGCAATAGCAATAGAATGGGGCACAATAGATCTTTTAGATCGCAGTGTATTAACACCCCATTCCCAACATAATATATGGCTATTAAAGTAACTTACCCAAGTTTTACTGTAAACAGTATGTTTCTTGTTATAATACAAATTACCCATAATTACTCCAATAAAACTGCTGGACCATATAGAAATAGTTGACTGGTATGATATTAAATATGTTGTTGAGTTTTTAAAATGTCTTAATTCCAGATTTCTACAAATAGAGGAAAATATTTTTACCATCTAGGTAGGTACAGTATTGCCCGAAATAAACAGTACTGAAACTAAGTTGGCGGTGTTTCTTTGCGCCTGCTGTCCTACCCAAATTAACTAGTATATACCTGTCAAGTAAACCTTAAACAACTATACTAAATTCAACTTGAATATTCCAAAGTTGTAAACAAAGCATGCAATTGCAGCGTGATTTTAAAAGATACCAGGGGCGCATTAGGTATTGTGCTATAACAATAATTGTAAAACATATTTATATTTTGTGTTTATTTAGAAATGTAAATAAAAATTTAAAAACTCCCAAAAAAAATACTTTACAAACAGGAATATTTATAAAATTACCAAGAACTAAAATAATTGAAAGGCAAATAACAATATTATAAAATAGATATCTACTCAGTGTCATAATCGCTGGAAGAACTACTGTTATTTAAAGTTATTACAAGCTGCTCATTTCTAAAGGTCAACCATTCTAGCTTGGCCTCTGAGATGCGCAAAAGAAAGAGAGAAAGAGTGACTGTGCAACAGAGAAAGACAATAGGAAGTTCCTCGAATGAACAATTATTCCTATTCGCATTCTTTGCATATTTTATGCATTTTTAAAATTATTTGCATATTTTTTCCTAAAACTTAATATTATATATATTATAGAAAAATAAGAGTTCCATTTTTTAAATTATCATGTATTTTTTTTCGCTTTGGGGCTATCCACTATCGATTACCAGGAAAAACCTACGTTTGGGTGGGGCTTTTTGCTCGGTATGGTCAAGAAATGTAATGCCTGCAATTAGGACAATAAAATAACAATAAAGGAACGTTTCCAAAATAACCACCTTATCAATTTATGTGAAATATAAAAATAAAGAATCTGAAGAGCAACTTTCATTTATTAAGTGCAATAATAATAGTTTTGTTCATAAAACGCTAACTTAGTTAGAAACTTCTATCTTAACACTTTTAGAAAGCATTAAATTAGTATAAAATGTGTAAAGGGTAAAGTAGGGGAAGATATATTTTAAAATTTAAAAGATACACACTGATAGGTATTAGGGATTAGACGGACGGTTGCATGTTTTTTTTATACTTTACTATTTTTAATGTTTATTTTCGATATATTGTCCTTGTGATGTAATAAATTTTAGATCTCTTGTCATTTCGATATCATATAACTTCGATCAAATGTAATTTGATAAAATGTATTTTGAATCAAATGTTATTGAATTAAATGTTATTCGATAAAATGTATTTTCGATCAAATTTCCAATTCTATCAAATGTTTTTCGATCAGTTTTTCGCCACCCCAATTTGATACCGCACGATAAATAGGTAGGTACTTTAATTCATCCATATTAGTGCCAATTTCATAATCGAATCCTAAATGAAATGAAATTGAACGATTTGAAATTTAATTATACCTGTAGTGTAGGACACAGGAAGCAGGGTAATGCTATGGGTAATCCTATTAACTATTTTAAGAACCCTTCTATCAAAAGCACAAACCGTAGAGTACATATACTTAATTATAAATCATTGCTTTAATCCATTTTAAATGTTAATTTGGGATATCCGAAATTATTTTATGTAAAAAAAGGGTTTCTTTGTGAAAAATAAAAGCTTAGTTCAGTTATTTAAGAACAAAATTGTTTCAGTATATTTTATAGTATTTTTTTACTGCTTGTTCTGAAAAATATTAAAATATTTTGGAATTAAAAACAATAGATAAAATAAACAATGTTAAAAAGGTTGGTATAGCTAATAAAATACTATTTTTGTCATGATAAATATGAAAATATGGATACGGATTTCTTTCTGAACTGGATAATTCAGTTGGAAATTTAAAAATTCTGTTGACGCAAGTAGACCTTGAAACAGTTACCAGTTTAAAAAAAGACATATTTGCCCTTCTTTATACGTACTTAATATTACTGACAAATTAAACACAATTATTTGTTTAAAACAGGTAAAACTTTCATTACATAATAAGTATTCACAAATACATTTACATATAAAATTTACAAGCTAAAATAAGTTTTATTATTTTCAACTAATAAGTTTTGCGCTGCATCATTTTCTTTTAATTCCTCGATTCCAGATAAATAACTGTCTTCTTCGTCTGACCCATCAGTTCCATCACTTTCTGAATCATTATCATTTTCGCCCAATCTAATAATAAACTCTTCCACAACTACATCTATTTTTGGTTCCTTTAAAATATATTCTTTTTCAAATCGTTTAGCTTCTCTCACATCGAGATTTCTATTTGTCGGCTGAGAATTTTTTAAAAAATCATTACAATACTGAATGACCTCGTTAAAATTAAAATTTACGTTCCATTTGGAGACATACTCTTTCATTTCAGCCCAAACCAACTCAATAGGATTCAGATCTGGATGATATGGAGGCAGTCGCAATACATCGTGTCCTTTTGCATTAAAAAGCTGGTCTATTTCATAACTTTTATGCCTTGCTTTGTGATTTTTTACTAGGTCGTAAAATTGTGGTTTTAAAATTTAAAAGGTATACTTCTGAGCCGTAACCATTCCTGCATTTCTGCTTTCCTTGACAATGACGTTGGCGATTTTTCCATTTGTTTGTTATGGTATGGGGCATTGTCAATTATCACACTATTTGGTTCCAAATTGAGAATGAGTTTTTCCGAAACCCACTTTTTATATTTCTCGAAATTCATGTCATGATGGTAGTCGCCACTGTTGCTGTTTGATTTCCATCTAATAAAGGCATTAGGAACAAACATATTTTTGCCACTTGCGTGAACTATAATAAGACGTAGACCCTTGCCTATTGATTTTTGTAAGCCCTCTATAGTTTTATCGTGCCATCCCTTTCCGTGAGCGTGTGACGAGTGAATGTGTCTCGTCCATGTATATTATAGGACGACGCATATTATAGGACTGACGCATCCTTCTAAGAAATTCAATTCTACGCAGTCTAATGGGCTGACATTCCTTGAGTATTTGACGATTATGTTGAAATTTTCTCCACCGAAAATCAATTTTGTGAATTTCTTTACGCAACGTTTCTGCACCACCTGTAGCCATTATCTTCTATGAACTGTCCTTAATGTTGGAACTGTCTTTTCTGTTTTGTGGTGATTAACAATTGTTCTTGGCAAAATTGCTAAATTTGCATTGTCAAGAAGAGTTTTAACTTTTTAATCCGTCGAATATTTCTAATGGAAACGCCCGTTGCTGCTGCAACACGTTCTTGAACCTATAAAAATATCAAAATATCAAATTTTATTTAAAACTAAGTTTGAAACAATATAATACAGAAACATAAAACTAATCCATTAAAAAATTCGACGTTAAAAAATTATCTTTGCGAGAGGAATAGTATCTTCTCCAGCGACTGCTTCTGCTTGCATAAAATCAATATATTGTTAATTATCTCACGACTTTTTCTAAATAATACTTTATTTTTCACTTTACTTGTAAACGACATTTTAAAATTAAGCACTTTTAAAAACGTACAAAATATTACATGTTTTAAACTTTCTTTGCGAACTGTACTTAGACGATGTGAACAACAAGAATGCACCGGTTAAACTGAGCTCCCGAGCGGGGCGGAACTTTAGGCTACTTCGCTTCAAAATCTCAGAGACCAAGTTAGAATGGTTGACCTGTAGTAGGGTCTAATTGTTAAGAATGATGTTAGGTACAGAGGACAAAGTGTTTCTGGAACATTTAGAACATGTATAAAAAGTCAATAATTAGTATTTCTTAAATAAATAAAAACAATTACAAATTCAGTACTGTTTATTTCGGGCAATACTGTACTTTTAAATTAATGAGTCAAATATAAAATTATTTACAAAGTTAAGGACGTAACGCTCATTCACGAACAATTATAAAATGGAGAAACGAGTTGGTGATCAAAATTCATCTATTAAGTTACTATTTGTAAATTTCTTTAAATTTTAACTAATTTGTTAACTTGTTTTTCAATTGTGCGAATGGTGAAGGTGGTATAATTCCTTATTTCCACACAAGCTAACTTGCTTCTGGAGATCAGATATGATTTGTAAGGACTTATCCCACACTCACTATTCCCAATACTGGATTTTTGTCACTTTGTTTGTATCTTTTAATTGTTAATTTGTTCAAACAACCGTATATATACAATTTTAACTCTTGACTTAAAAGTCTCAATCAGATTTTTTTTTTTTAAATTGTAAGTTTACATCCACAATTTTTGTAGATAAGCACTGATGATGGCTAATAAGCCGAAAACGCTTTGCATTTATTAATTAAAAAGTTTTGCACGAAATACAAGTCTTTCCTTTTGAATCTAAACTACGTGCACACAGCTGTCAACCTTTTTTGGTTATTTCAATCATCTATTAAGATTTTCATATTTTCCTCATGAGCTAATTTGGCATTTATATGCCTATCATACCGACAAAAGCCGCTGAGACATGCTGGATCTCTTTATAGTCGTTTAAAAGGCAGGCCAGGATAATTTCCTACAGACTTCTGACGATGTGAAATCAATGCAAAAACGAACTGCTTTGGGACAAAATGGGAAATTAGTAACCAACACAATCTTGGTATTGTGTCAGACTAGTTTCCCGACAGCATAGAACAGTAATTCAGCGTTCTTATTTGAGAGAGAGAGAGAGAGAGAGAGAGAGAGAGAGAGAGAGAGAGAGGAGAGAGAGAGAGAGAGAGAGAGAGAGAGAGAGAGAGAGAGAGAGAGAGGAGAGAGAGAGAGAGAGAGAGAGAGAGAGAGAGAGAGAGAGAGGAGAGAGAGAGAGAGAGAGAGAGAGAGAGAGAGGAGAGAGAGAGAGAGGAGAGAGAGAGAGAGAGAGAGAGAGGAGAGAGAGAGAGAGAGAGAGACGAGAGAGAGAGAGAGAGAGAGAGAGAGAGAGAGAGAGAGGATGAGAGAGAGAGAGAGAGAGAGAGGAGAGAGAGAGAGAGAGGAGAGAGAGAGAGAGACGAAGAGATATTAAACTATTCCAGTCGG